CAACCCGCACCCTGCCCCTTCCGCTCGAGGCTCCGACCTGTCCATGCCCCCTGACCGAGGCCCCCCTGCCTTGCTCCCCAGAGCACTGGGAAGCTGAGAGCCACGGCCCCCTCAGAGCAGGGAGGGGGGGACTTGGGGGCCGAGCGTGGGCAGGGCCACGCCTGGCTGTTTGGGGAGGCCCAGCCAATGGGACCCGCTGCCCAGGGCCCTGTTTCACCGAGTCCCCCTGTGGAGGCTGGTTGACAAGCCCAGAGGTGGAATTCATGCGGTAGACTGAGGCTCATGCACGGAGCTCCAGAGGTCCCAGGTTCAATTCCACCGGTCAGCGTGACACGGCCTCTACCTCATTTACTTTCTTCTCCCCCTCTCTAGGCTGGCCGGTACCGGGGCTCCGTGAAGGAGTTCCCCAACTTCAACGCAAGCCAGGACGCAGAGGCGCTGTACAACGCTATGAAGGGCTTTGGTGCGTACGCTCCGCCGCCCCCGCGCTACCGGCCCCTCCGATGGCCGCTGAATCTCCAGGGGTCTTGACGTCGGTGGCTTTGGAGCCGGCCTTGTCCTAGCAGCCTGTTAACAGCTGCTGGGCAGGTGTGAGCGGAATGGAGGGGTGACCCTGGACGTTGGGGTGGCCCTGTGCTGAAGGCAATGGAGGGTGTTAGGGGGTGAAGGCCACAAATGCACCTCCCAGCCCTTAGTGTCACCCCCTCCGGTGCTGGAAGCAGTGCTTGGCATTGGAAGAGGTTCAGAAAACAGCAGCCAAAACGAGGAGGGGTTTGGAGCCGCTGCCATATAAGGAGAGATTAATAAGACTGGGACTTTCCAGCTTAGAAAAGAGGAGACTAAGGGGGGATATGATAGAGCTCTATGAGATCATGACGGGTGGGGAGAAAGTGAATAAGGAAAAGTTATTTACTTGTTCCCATCACACAAGAACTAGGGGTTGCCAAATGAAATTAACGGACAGCAGGTTTAAAATAAACAAAAGGACGTTTTTTTCTATGCAGCACACAGTCAACCTGTGGAACTCCTTGCCAGAGGATGTTGTGAAGGCCAGGACTTTAACAGGGTTCAAAAAAGAACTAGATAGATTCATGGAGGACAGGGCCATCAATACTTATTAGCCAGGCTGAGTAGGAATGGGGCCTCTAGCCTCTGTCAGAGGCTGGAAATGGGCGACAGAAGAGGGATCACTTGATGATTTTCTGTTCTGTTCACGCCCTCTGGGGCATCTGGCATTGGCCACCATTGGAAGACAGGAGACTGGGCTAGACGGACTTTTGGTCTGACCCAGTACGGCCGCTCTTATGTTCATTGCCTCCGTGCAAATGGTAAGCGAGGGTGCACGGTGCACGTTTTCAGGGCCTGTTTCTATAGAGAGGTTTCCTGATGCACAAACTACCTTGCAATGCCTGGTGGCTTGCCTTGGGGCCGGGGAAGAAGGGAGTTTGTCAGGGGCGGGCCAGAGGCAGAGATCTTCAGCCTGAATCTGACCTGGGACAGTCTCTGGTGCCCAAGAGCGGGATCCCAATGGGGGAGCGCATGAACAGAGCACTCCATGATATGCCCCTGCTCTCTCCCTTTCCCCAGTGATGCTCCAGAGCCCGATCAGTCCCTTGCCCTGTTCCCGGGCAGGCTAGGCTCAGAGGGGTCGCAGCGCTCTGTCCTGCCATCTCCAGCACAGAGCTGGAATCCGCTCCCGGCCCAGGGAAAGCGGGATCTTGCCGATCTCAGCTGTGGGAGGAGGGTGACTGACCGTGTCTCCCTGCAGGCAGCGACAAGGAGGCCATCCTGGACCTGATCACATCCCGGAACAACAAGCAGCGATTCGAGATCAGCCAAGCCTACAAATCGCTGTATGGAAAGGTAACCCCAGTGCATCATGGGACAGCCCCACATCCTGATCTGAGGGCCGCCAGAGAGCGAGCCTTTGCTGCCTCCTCCAAAGCACAGCATGCCGGGTGCATCCCCCCCCGCTCTGCCTGTCCCTGCCACACCGGCCGGGGCTCCGCACACAGTGGAGCAAAATCATTCACTTGGGAAAATTCACTAGCTATCGACAGGGTGGGTCAGTCACATCCCAGCCGCCGTGGCCGGCCTGCACTCTGCCAATAGCCCTGCTGAGGTCCGGACCGCCCCCCCACACAGCTAAGGCGGCTACCTTGATAAGTCCTTTCTCCCCACGAGTTTGCCACTCACGCCTCCTCCTCTCCCTCTCTCCTTCTCGCACCCTCTTCCGTGCCCCAGGACCTGATCGCAGACCTGAAACGGGAGCTGACGGGGAAATTTGAGAGGCTGATTGTGGGTCTGATGCGGCCCCTGGCGTACTTTGATGCCAAGGAGATTAAAGACGCGCTGCAGGTAAGGGGCAGGGAAGGGCTCTCTGAGCATCCTCGCTACACCAGAGCTCTGGGCGCTCCCTCTAAGGGCGCGTGTACTTAGCTCAGCTCCTCCAGGCAGTGCCCAGAGGCTGCCCTCCTCAAGGGGCTACATGCCTGGCATCGGCGCAGGGTGTCTCACGTGGCGGTTGTTTTTCCTGCCTGCAGGGCATCGGCACCGACGAAAAGTGCTTGATTGAGATCCTGGCATCCCGGACCAACCAGCAGATACACAATTTGGTGGAAGCCTACAGGGATGGTGAGAGTGGGAGACAAGGGAATCCTGGCTTCTCCGGGGCGAGTAGTGCAGCCAGCAGCCTGTGGCCAGGGGAGGGTTAAAGTCCAATGGGACATCGGTTCACCATAAATTAGAGCAACTCCCAAATAGCCTCTTCCCTCCCACTGGAACCCTGTGCATGGGGCAAGGGACAGCATCTGGCGTTGGGTTGGGAGCCATTTCCCCAAACATTACTGGGCCTTTGTGTCCAGCTTTCTGATTGGTGCTGGGCAGCTGGAGTTAAAGAGAGCTGAGTGGAGATTGGTTCACAGGGAGCTAGAATTGTGTTTCTAAACAGAATTGGCTACATCTACGCTGGCAGCTTCTTGCACAAGAACTCTTTTGTGCAAGAGTTCTTGTGCAAAAAGTCTTCCACAAGAGCACGTCTATACTGGCATGTGCTTTTGCACAAGAGCGTCCATGGCAGTGTGGACACGCTCTTGCGCAAGAAAGCTCTGATGGCCATTTTAGCCATAGGGGTTTCTTGCGCAAGAAATTCATGTTGCCTGTCTACACTGCCTTCTTGCTCAAGAGCTCTTGCTCAAGAAGGCTTATTCCTCCTGGGGAGAGGAATAACTCTTCTGCAAGAAGCCCTGTTTTCCGACACTGGACTGTAAATTTACTTGCACAAGAATGTGCGTGGAATGTAGACACCCGGCAGGTTTTTGCACAAGAACAGCTGTTCTTGCACAAGAACTGCCGATGTAGACATAGCCTTCGATTAAGACCAGAAATATCTGCTAGGATGTTTCCTAACGTTAAATGATCTGTTCCAACCGTGGTGAACTGAGTAGCCTAAAACGACAGAACATAATGGAAGAATATTTCTTACCATTGTTTCAGTTGTTGGATTGATGGTAACAAAGTGAATAATATCTTTCTTTGAGAAGAAATAGGATGAACCTCTCTAGTCCGGCACACTCTGGTCCAGCAACATCCATAGTCCGGCATGAATTGAGTTTGCCAGATATCCACTTAACATGGGTGTGGCAAGTTTCCCGCAGTCCCATAAAGTTTGTTTGCAGCCACCCGTCCTGGCTCTCAGTGTTCTGTGCTGTGATTTAGCTCTAATTTACCCCTCAATGTCTTCTCAGAGCCCAGCAAGCCATGGAAGTGTTGGAAATGCTGCTAGACAATATTGACCTCCTGTGGTTTGGCAGAGGTCAGGTCCCGAGAGTGCCGGACTAGAGAGGTTCCACCTGTAACTGATTTTTTAGCCAAAGGAAATGTAGTAGATCTAATCTATCTGGATATCAGTCAGGCACTCAGTTAAGTGCCACATGGGATAGTCTTAGTTAAATTGGGGAAGATGGGGATTAAAAATGTGAGAAGTGAAACGTGGAGAAGGAACTGGATGAAGAGGAGACTGCAGAGGGAGAAAGAGCTGTATTTGTCAATCGCAGGAGAATGACTGAGCCATCAATGTGATGCAGCCGCAAAACAGGCTGACGGTCCTGGCGTGCATCAGGCGAGGTATTCCCAGTAGAGACAGAAAAGTGTTAGTACCATTACACAAGGCACCGCTGAGACCTCAGCTGGAGCACGGGGTGCAGTTCTGGTCTGTGCAGTGTGGGAAAGGTGAATTCAGAGTGGGACAGGCGCAGAGAAGGGCTCCTGGGATGATCTGAGGAATGGAAAACCTGCCTCCTGAGAGCAGGCTCAAAGAGCTTGACTTGTCCAGGGGTTCTCAAGCTGTGGGTCAACCTGCCTCCTGAGAGCAGGCTCAAAGAGCTTGACTTGTCCATGGGTTCTCAAGCTGGGGTCAGGTCGTGACCCCATTTTAATAGGGTCACCAGCAGTGTTCCCTGTAAGCTGTGCCCTTGTCTGGCTGCCCAGGAGAGATTCACACACCACCCAGTTGATAAGCAGAGCACCCACAGCTAGGCTTCTGTTTCTACTGGTGGTGCACATCTGCACATGCCTCAGCGCACATACAAAAACTTTATTCCACACATGGATGGAAAAGATTAGAGAACATTGGTCCAGGGCCGAATTAGACTTGCTGAGGACCGGTGCCGAAGTCTGAGCCCCACCATGCAGGGTAGAGGCTGAAGCCTGAGAGGTTTTCAGCCCTGGGCAGTGGGGCTTAAGTTACAAGCCCCTGGACTTTGCCCCCCGGGTGGGGGACAGATTTTAGCTTTAGCCCCCTCCCCTCCAACATGGGGTGATGGGCCTCAGGTGGGCTTGGGCTTTGGTCCGTCTCTGAGGATCGTGTAGTAATTTGCCGGCAGGGGGTCGCCGTGCAGGGGCGTTTGCAAACCCCTAACCAGAAGCAGGCTATGGGGAGAGGTGAGTGCTGTCCATAAACACACTTGCTTTCCCTGCAGTGTGGGGTCGCCTGCAAGTTTAAATTAATGTCGCTGGTGGATTCTGTGTCACTTGACATCTTTGAGCTGTGATTTGAGGGCCTCAGAAACTCAGCCAGAGGCTGGGGGTCTGTGAGAGGAGTGGATGGGTGGGGTGCAGTGGCCTGCGAAGGGCAGGGGGTCTGGACAGATGATCGCGTTAGCCCCTTCTGGCATTAGTAAGAGTAGCTGAGTAAGAACAGAAATTGCGATTTTAAACATAGACGGTATCCCTTAAGTGACTTGCCACGAGCTGTCAGAACAGATTCGTATTGGAGCGGAGTGGGGCTTATATTTATTTGATTTTCTTTCTTGATCTAGTACCAGATCATTCCTAAGCCATCTGCAAAAGTTATTCGAGTTTTCAGTTGCCTAAATAGCCCCTGGAACCATGGTTAAAGTTGCCTCCCCTGTCCCTGATCTGAAATGATGCAGGCACGGAATTAACCCCCCTGTGCAGCCCCATTGGCTTGACAAGAGCTGCCCTCAAATACAGATGTCGGACTATGTCTATGGTGTAGGGTTGCCAGAAAATGTTTGCAAAAAATCCCGAACGTGGTGGGGAAAAAATTGGTTGAGCAAAAAAAAAAAAAGTCGCTGCGCCTTTAAATTTTATATGTCCAGTATTTTTTTCACAATGCAATTACTGAACTGTCTGGGCAAAAAGCAGACATCTGGCAACCCTGTTATGGTGATGGGGCTGGGGCTGGGACGGGGGTTGCTGGCAGGGACCATGTCTCTGAAATGGGCATGGCTCGTTTGGGGCGTGCTTCGGAGGGCAGTGCAGCATTGCTGGTCTCAGAGAGGGATGCCAGTCTGGGCGCCCAGTGCTATGTACCCCCCTTGAACCCGGGATCCGGATCCTGGGAGCTAAGGACGCTCCCTTGTGTTGGGCTCCGGCCTCCCCTGAACGCGGAGCTGAAGCGCTTCCCATTTTTCTCTCCCGCTCCAGCCTACGAGAAGGAGCTGGAGGCGGACGTCCTGGGAGCCACCTGGAGCCATTTCAGGAAGATGCTCATCGTTTTGCTTCAGGTACATTCCCGGGCAGCGGGTGAACTGGCAGCCAGGAGAGGCTAGCCCTGTCCCCACTACTCTGGCCCCCTCCCTCCCCTCCCGTCCCCCTCTGGCAGGCAGCCCAGCCCACGCCTGCCCTGCTGGGCCACGGAAGACAAGGAACGCAGGTAGGGTACTCCTGGGAGCAGAACGTGGGCAGGGCCACGCCAGGCTCCGTGGGGATGCTGCCCACGGGTACGTTGCTCTGCCCACCACTCCCCATTCCCTTCTGCCTGTTCTCACTCCTCCGACTGTACCGCCGGCCTCTTGTCTCTAGGCAGCCCAGCCCACGCCTGCCCTGCTGGGCCACGGAAGACAAGGAACGCAGGTAGGGTACTCCTGGGAGCAGAACGTGGGCAGGGCCACGCCAGGCTCCGTGGGGATGCTGCCCACGGGTACGTTGCTCTGCCCACCACTCCCCATTCCCTTCTGCCTGTTCTCACTCCTCCGACTGTACCGCCGGCCTCTTGTCTCTGACGCAGGGCACCCGGGAGGAGGACGACGTTGTGAGCGAGGACCTGGTGGAGCAGGATGCCAAGGTAGGTGGGGCGGAACGGAGCCTGGCTCACTTCCCTGGCGCTCACCGCAGCCCAGCCAGCGACTGGGAGGAAGAATCCACGGATCTCCCTGGGTATCCGCATCCGCGGGGGTGTAGGCAGGTGTCCGGGCTCATTTCTGCCAATACTACATTTGGTATCTGCTCAGGGCTCCGATGAGGGGCCAAAGAATGAGTCTCTCAGGGCCCCCCCGGACCGCCAGCTGGTTCAAATCAGAGCGATGCTGATTTATGGCAGCCGAGAATCTGGCCCCTTGACTCTGCTTTGAGACACAGTTTTTGTCATTTGTTCATTGCGCTGCTTTGTGTCTGGCCAGCTAGGAAGGGGCCCAAAGCCCCGGCTGCTGATGCCCCACGCTGGGAAGGTTCGGCGCGGACTTCTGCAGCCCAGGCGCCTGTTTCTCTCCCTTTCACAGCGTTTGAGAGGCTGCGTGGACAAGAGCCACCCAGGGCCACTTTGTAGCAAGCTCCGCAGACACACATGGCTGTGGCTACACACAGTACAAACCCAGAAGTGTAGCAACAAGCTCCGCAGACACACATGGCTGTGGCTACACACAGTACAAACCCAGAAGTGTAGCAACAAAAGGCCAGCGAAGCTAATTCACTGAGCTCCCCGAGCCGTCTGCAGCCACCACTTCCAGCCATGTGATCTTACGGGTTGTAAGTGGCTTACCCTGGCCACCCCCCCCCCCCTACAGCCACCACTTCCAGCCATGTGATCTTGCGGGGGTTGTAAGCAGTTTACACACATGCACACAGAGTTGTGGTCCCGCTGTGCCCCATTGAACCTTCCCCCAGCCCCGCAGCTACTACTTCCGGCCATGTGTTCTTGCTGTGGTTGTAACTGGTTTTTATGCACACACACTGCAACCTGTAGCCAGAGCGTGGGAGAGAGAGGCTGGGGCAATGCACCGCCCCTGTCTTCCCTAGGTCGGCTAGAGTCGGTCCCATGAAGGACCATGAAGGACTGTAGGGGGTGTGTTCGCACCCCCTTCACACACCCTGCATACGGGCCGGTGTAGGAACTAGTTTTACAAACACACACACACTTCAGCTTCCAGCCATGTGATCTTGTGGAGTCACAACTGTGTTTCTTGCACACAGAGTTAGTTATAGCCTCGGGGAAAGAAGACAAGACAGATCAGATTTTGAATTGACAACCTCCCTAGAGATGAAGTCAGTTAAGAACATAAGAGCAGTCAGACTGGGTCAGACCAAAGGTCCATCCAGCCCAGTATCCTGTCGTCCGACAGTGGCCAATACCAGATGCCCCAGAGGGAGGGAACACAACAGGTAATCCTCATGTGGTCCCTCCCCTGTCACCCATTTCCAGACAAACAGAGGCTAGGGATACCCTTCCTACCCATCCTGGCTGATAGCCGTTGATGGACCTAACCTCTATGAATATCTAGCTCTTTTTTTAACTGTGTTAAAGTCTTAGTCTTTATCATATCCTCTGGCAAGGAGTTCCAAAGGTTGACTGTGCACCGAGTGAAGAAAAACTCCCTTTGGTTTGTTTTAAACCTGCTGCCTATCAAAACTTAAGTTAAACAAAAGATTCCAGGCTGCTGAGTGAGACCGGGAAGGAGCCTTGCCTTTTGTAAACAGCGGCATTACGGTTTGCAGCTGGTCCTGACAGCAGGCGTTGAGCGCGTTCATTCTGGGCTGCTCGGTCAGGCTTTCCGCATTCTCTGACTCTGTTTCTGCCTTTCTGCCAGGATCTGTTGGAAGCCGGCGAGTCGAAATGGGGCACAGACGAGGCCCAGTTCATCTACATCCTGGGAAACCGAAGCAAACAGCATCTCCGGCTAGGTGAGCCACTTCCGTCTCCAAAGCACAACGCCCCCTCCTTCCTTCCAGAGCCGCTAGCTGGGTCTTGCCGAGCGTGTGAGGATTGGAGGCCGGCCAGGCTGGGCGCTCGCCATCTGGTGGTCATGCTCGGGGAGGACAATTAAGAGGTGTTTTTCCATGAGAGCTGATGAATTTTGAAGGGGGAGACCGCGGTGCCCAGTGTCCATCTCTGGCGAAATCTTCTGGGCTTTGCTGAGGGAGCCAGGAATGTTCCTTTTCGTCCTCTCAGGCCTCGTGCTACAACGACGTGTTCACCCCCCAGGGCTTTGTTTCTGTGGTCGAGCTGCGTGGCGTTCATGATTGCCATGGGTGCCTCTGTGGGTAGCTCCCCTAAAGGCAGCTGCTGGGTAGCTCATCAGGGAGGCAGCTGCTGGGTAGCTCCCCTAAAGGCAGACTTGCTGTCGGGG